ATCCTTATGAGAACGTACTTTTACTCAATGTATTACGTTGTTATCATACATTCATTACTTTCTATCCCACAATACTTAATCCTTTTTTTAAATTTTACTAGCGTATCAGGTCATTTATTTCTTCTGACAGATTAGAGTAAGATAAGACAATCTTCTTAGTTTGTATGGTAAGTTGTTCATCCTTATAAATATTATATATTTTCCTACGTAATTACAACATACCTTTCACTAATCATTGTTTCTCTTTATATAAGGGTACAAATTTTCTAGAAGCTAAATGACATCAACAATAGTATTTACACCTACTGAAGCATCTGCCTTACCTGCAATCTTAACTAATGCACGAGTACAACTTACTCGGTACGTCTATTGCCCATCGTTTATTATTGGAAATATCGGTAATATTCTTAATATTATTGTCTTTTGTCAAGAACCGTTACGTACAAGTGTATGTTCAATCTATTTTTTGATTGTGTCCATTGCTAATCTTATGTCAATCAATATTGGCTATTTGACAAGAGTATTAGCAATGCTTGATGTACCTGATCCATCTCGCAATGTGGCTTGGTATTGTAAAGGTCGTGCTTACATATCAGGATTATCCTTAACACTTGCACGTCACTTTTTATGTTTGATTGCGATTGATCGCGTTTTTGTGACATCAACTCGTGTTCCTCTACGACGGTTAAGCTCTTTCAAAACAGCTAAATGGCTTGTACCAGTAAGTTGTTTAAGTTGGGCAATTTTTTATGTGCATACTTGGATCGGTTATGAAAATACGCGTGGTGGAACGAGTTGTGGTCGGCGAGCAGGTTTTTACAGTACATTCACAACTGTATGTACAGTATCGATTGATGCAATTTTACCTATTATTATTATGACAGTATTTACTTTACTGATGTTGAAACAAGTGCATGCATTACAATTACGCAAAGAGAAAAATGCCATTATAGCAGGAAGGCAAGTGACCACTGGAGGATCATTGATGATTACTTCTTTGGCAAATAGAACTAGCAATCAGGATGGAACAAATCACGAAGCAAATAATCGTAGAACAGAACGACAAAGAGAAAAACAATTAACAAAACTTTCACTTGTACAAGTTCTTCTCTACATTATATTCAATTTACCTAATGCTGTTTATGTTGTTTACATGCTGGTTGTAACCAATGAAACGAAAACACCTGATCGATCGGCAATAGAAAGTTTTGTTAGTTTATTCGCTTCTATACTGACATATATTTATTGTACAGTAAGAAAATTTTTTACTTATTCAAAGAAATATAAAGGCTTCTGAGACCATAAAATTAGCCATTTTAAATTGACACTTTGAGCCATTTGCATGTTTATGATAAAAGAAAGCAGAAAGGCTTGTAGTTCCAACCTGATATTGATAGCTCACGGCATAGTATTGTTCTCGACTGTGCTTTTCCTTGATTAATTTCTAGAGAAGTTTACTATGTTTGTTCAAAAGTTAATTACTAAAGAACAACGAAGCAGATCTCTATAAATTATATTTATGACAGCAGAAAATATTAAAGATTATTCTGACGTAGGTTTGTTTTTTTAAACAAAAACAAAGCATCAAATACTGGCATATTGTCAAATACGTGTTCTTAAATCCAATCTTGACTGATTTCAATAAAAAATAAGCTTATATTAATCTTAGATTTCCGTTAATCCTTTTAAGATATCATCGAAAAGAAAACAAAGAAATAGACGAATATTTCCCATTTGTTTAGAAATATTTTAAATAATTTCTTAATTTTTAGCTCAATTTCTACATCTATACATTATCATCAACAACATATCGAGCGCAAACGAAACAAGCTCTTCGAAAATGTTTCAATATGCGACAAACACAAGTTTTTCCTATTCAAAATTAATATGGGAACTATCCATAGTATTCATTCAAAGATAATTCAAAACCAAAAAAAAACATATTTTATGTCGTATAAATAAACAAGTAACGCGTCGGCCATTAGGCCCCGCTTAGCTCAATCCTGAAAGTAGATTATAGAGAAAATAACATCGCGAAAAATGATAATTAATATCTGGCGATTCCCTTATGCGGTCATGCATAACTCATTCTTCGAATGATCGTTGATATCTCATATTTCATGTGTATATGCAGTTTAACTATCATCTTGTGTAATTTAAATTCATCCATGAAGGAGAATGAACCATTTAGGAAAATCCTTACATGACTTACATAGATGAGATGCAAAGGACGATAATGAAAAGCTAAGAGTTGCTTTATATGGCAATGTATGATTTAGGCTCATTCTTCCTAACTTTTCAATCGAACTAAAACAGCTGAACGCGACTGAAATTCATCATAATTTCCACTATGTGACTCTAAGATTTAAGACATAGTAGATATCATAGGAAATCGTGTGCTGTCATTTTCAAAGCTCGTGCAGTCAGTCATCTTTTCTACTTGAGTTTTGGTTGAGTGTCAATCTATATATAATTGATGTTTGTCTTGAAACAAATTAGCGCAAATGGATTGTTTTGTAAAAGATATACGTATTTATCAAAATGTTTTAAAAACAAATTCGAATACAATGATGCTCTTCTAATGTATCAACCGTGTACTTTTGTGTTCGACTAGAATATAATACACTTTGTTTATTCTTTTGTTTTCTTGAAATAATTAGTATTTTTAAACAAAGAATATATGTCTTAATTTTTGTTAATCACAATGATCTCTAAAACATATATAATATGTCTGAGTAGTGAAATCATTTTTTGTAGTTTGAGAGATTAATATGATTGTAGGTGTGAAGAGTGCTTGCATAATCTATTTTGTTGAAAAATGAAAAGTTCTTATTGATATAGACTAAAAAGCATATTGCAAACGGATAAGAATTGGAAAAAAAATTGGAATCAGAGATGTCGGATGGATTGGGTTGGTGTGGGTATCTCATGGGTTGGACTGATTCGGGGTCAACCCTTGACCCAATCGATTGGATTGGATTGGCAATTTGATTTATTTTAACCCGGATCCATCCACCCACATATGTAGAGACTTTTGACCGGATAGCCCAAGGGTGGGTCAGGGTTTAACCCGATAAATTAACCATATTTCTAAGAAAGGGGTGAGAGAAAAATTTTGTTCAATAAAAATGTCGTCACAATATGATACCTACGATTCTC